CGGCTCATAAAAGAGAGATTCTTGTGTCTCTTCCCTCTTGGCAGCCAACTGAGCCAAGGCTACTGTGCAGGACCCTGAGGCTGGGGCCAGAAGGGGCCCTGGCTCCACCCTGTGGGCACCTGCGGGGGTGGTGAGAGCTGTAACCCTTGCTCTCCCAGGTACCAGACGTCCGTTGTTCCTGTCCCCCTTAAAGCTAGTGAGATGCAGAGGCAGCATTGCAGTTTGCTTTTGTTGCATTTGTATTTGGAAGCAAAATCACCTATTAGAGCTAGGACTGTAATCTTTCTCTAGAGTTTAAAAGTATTGTACTGAGGCGGGAGGACTGCCGTGAGTTCAAGGCCAACCTGGGCTACAAAGTAAGTTTAAGACCTGGATGAATTTCATACAAGGCCCTGCCTCCAAAAAAAAAAAATTATAATTTTGTTGTTAAGTGCTCAGAGTTGTCGTACTTGGAGTGAGGCTATTAACCAAAAAGGTATGTATTTTTGTCAGTCAGTATTTTTTTATCACACTGGCGTGCGTAGTTTCTGATTGTCTGGTCCTGTTCTAGCAAGTGACTTGTTTCTCCCCCAGCAATAAACTCTGACTTAAGGAATAATTATGAGGACACGCAAGCTCAACGAGGAGACGACTCTTTCCTCTCATCATTGCACCCCAGTTCCGTAGCTCAGTGCCTGGCCCAAGTGAGGTCTTCAGTAGTGTTGCTGACTGAATGAATGGCTCCAAAGCTTTGGCACAGAGAAGACTGAAAGGGAGAGGGAGGGGCCACTTAGGAATAGGAGAGGGGCTACAGTTCCTCCACCACTAAGCTCTGGAATGATGGGAACCAAGTAAAGTGTGCTTCTTTAATGGCACAAGGGCAGGGTAGGGGAGAAGAAATGAAGTATAAGAAGAAAACCGGCAGCTGAGTGTGGTGGTGCATACCTGTAATCCCAGCACTCTGAGAGGCTGAGGCAGGAGGATTGCAAGTTTGAGCCTAGCCTGGACAACTTGGCTACATTCGACTGAAAGTTTAAAGGGGCAGGAATAGTTTGAGCAATCTTCTACTCTTACACCTGGTAATCTGAGCAAGGTAGTTGAGGATAAGATATGAAATGTAACAACCACTGTTAATTTGTATTGTTTTGCCTTGAAACCCTGTATCTCTTTTTTTTGTTGTTGCTTTTTTGTTTGTTTGTTTGTTTTTTTCCAGTACTGGGAATCAAACTCATGACCTTGTGCTTGCCAGGCGGACGCTGTGCCGCTGAGCTAAATCCCCAGCAACCCCCTGTATCTCTTTAAATGTTCTTGCTTTGATTTGTTTATGTTCATGATACTGGTATGCTGCTCCTGTTCTATAAAAAAATATTAAAGATGATATTACCCAAATAATAGGGTAAAAAAAAGGGGGCGCGGGGATTAGCTCAGTACTAAGGTCCTGGGTTCGATCCCTAGTACAAAACAAAAAGAAAAAAAAAAAATGTCACATACTTTGGACCCTTGAGAAGTTGGGCTGCGTTGGTGAATTTAACTTCTTGAAAACTCAGTTTCATTATCTGAGAAATGGACTTGGCAGCACCAACTTCACAAGGTTGAGACAGAAATAAGGAGGATAAAGTATGTAAAGCAGTGGGCACAGAAATTGCTATCCTAAAAAACCTCGGAGGACCCTCATCTTTTCACTGAACAAGTGCACACCACGAGGCCGTGTAGATAGCAACTCTAGCAAGGGGCCCAGGACTGGACAGCGGGGTTTGAATCCCAGCTTCATCACTTAGAGCTCAGTGGTTTCAAGAAAGTTACTTACTTGTTCTGGGTCATAAAGTTTCTCAGCTGTGAAAAACAGGCTAATAATGCTTACCTCACCATGCTGCTCTGAGGATTAAACCAGCTAAGGAAGAGAAACTACTCAGAACAGTGTCTGGCACTCAGGCACCGAGGAAGTGATAGCTATCGTGATCATTATCATCACCGGGTGCTGGTATTTTCCTGTCTCATCCACTTCCATCCCTCCAAGGCGGGTGGGAACCATAAGGGGATGGCTGGAACAGACAGATGTGTTACATGACAGCAGAGCCCATGGAGTTGGGTGACTGGCCTCTGTCTCATCATGTCAGGGTCCCCAAGCCCAAGCGGGCACCAAATTCAATTTGCCTCGAGGCTTGTAACACACAGGACTCAGGCCTCACCCTAACAGCATTTGATTCAGCAAGTCTGGGTGGGCTCTGTTTTACATTTCTAACAAGCTCCCATCATCAAACCGTGGTGCTGATGCTGCTGATGGGAACACGTTCTGAGACTCAGGGCCATGTAACAGGAAGAGATGTCAACCTCTGCATGATGGTGCATGCCTATTATCCCAGCACTTGGGAGGCTGAGGCAGGAGGAACCTTAACATCAAGCCTAGCCTGGGCTACTTGGTGAGATACTGTCTCAAAAAAATAAGAATAACATAAAGAACAGATGTCAGAAGCTCCAAGAGGAGGCTGAAGAGTCTCAAAGGGATAGGAGCCTTGAAATTCCCCCAGACAGCACAGAGTTCCGGAAACTCATTCCAGAATGAGCATTTGTTCATTCATTTATTCATCGAATAAGAACCGGATCCCCACTGTGAGAAGCGCCCTGTATCCATCTATCAGTTGCAAGGACAAGAGTTAAGCTGAGCAGAAACACTGAGTTGAGAAGACTAACAATTTATTGAATTAAACTGGGGCAGCACCCTGGGAAGAAGCAGTGTCCCCACTAGACCTGACATTAGCATCACGGTTTTGTGTGTGTGGTGGAATGTACTTATACCTAAAACAAAATTGACCCCAAAGTGTATGGTGCAGTGGTATTAAATATACTCTCACTGCTGTGTAACCACCACCACCATTGAGCTCTAGAACTTCCCTCATCTTCTCAAACTGAGACTCTATACTCACTAAACAAGAATTCCCTAGTTCCACTTTCGCCTGGTCACTACCGTTCCATTTCCTAAGCCTGTGAATGTTTTGCTATGCTAGGTAGCTCTTGTGAGTGTGGTCATACATTTTGTCACTTCATGATTGGCTTATTTCTCTTAGCATAATGCATTATGCTTATTTCTCTTCACATAATGCATGACAATTCTCTTCTTTTTAAAGCTGAGTAATATTCCCTTTCCATATAAATCATTTTGTATATCAGTGACATTTGGGTGGTTTCCATCTTTCATGCATAACGGTGCTATGAAGATTGATGTACAAGGATTTGTTCACAACCCTGCTTTCAATTCTTTGGAGTATATACCACTAAACATCACTATCAAGCCAATCAAATTTACTTGGGTGACAATTAGGATCAGAGCTCCTGCCCTACACACACACACACACACACACATGCTTCCTACTAGACCTTCACCTCTCCTGCCACCCTGGTACCCAGTCTCTCAGCCACCACACGGATAAATCACCTACACCTCCGGGCAAACTGTCACAACAAGCTGGAGGGATTCAGCGGGAGTTCTTTCACCCCATAGTAGCAGTCTTGGCAACCTCGCTGTTCCATGCCCAAATGCACCTGTGCCAGCAGCGCGTGGAGTACAGTGGGGAAGGTAGCCATCAGATGCCTTGATAGAAGGAGCTGTTGTACTACTTACAGGCTACTTGGGTGAGTGATTTAATCTCCCCAGTCTCAACTTGCTGGTCTGAAAGTGGAGATGATAGTACCTATGTACTAGAGTTGCTGTTTTGAGAATTAAACAGCAATAAACTAAGCAAAGGTTGGATAAACTGAGATAAGGTAAAGCGCTTAACATACTGCCAAAACAAACAAACAAAAAAGCAACAAAAAAAAAAGAGATACAGGCAAAAAGTAAGGACTCGACAGATATTGGCTGTTAGTATTATTGGTTATTTCTAACACATGCCAAGGACTTCCTTGCCATAGAAGGACATTACAATGAGCATAGTCTCACTAGGCCAGAAACCTAGAATCCCAGACAATAGCAGACAAATTTCTTAAAATCATAAGACTCAAAATTACAACCTGGTCCCCACGGATGAAAAGACTTCGGAAAGGGAAAGTGTTCGGGAACAGAGTCCTCTGAGGAACGCATGCACTGTCCCAGAGTCTCTAGCAGCCAGCTGTGAGTTGTATGGATTTGTCCCGAGTTTTTTCAAAAGTCAGCGTGCAAATGCCAGATAAAAATGGATTCCAGAACGATGGAAACTGGAAATGAGAAATGGTTACAACAAGTCGGGCCAGGCCTCCCCCTGGATCGCCCAGTCCTTCTGGGACGTGTTCTGACAACTTGACAGCCCCTGTCTAAGCCTCCGCGAGGGGACGATGTTCCTGCCACTTCCCCTGGAAGGATATTGCACAGTGAAATATGACTCACTGTCAGGCCCTCGCCTTTGAGATTCCCTTTCTTCTCTTGACCCACTTTCGTCTGGCTGTGCCCTTTTGTACAAAGGCGAAGGAAGCCTGCCCTGGAGGAGCTTGCTTTGCAGGCACGGACATTCAAAGGCCATTACCACCTCTTAAACTTAGCCCTGTTCACTTAGCCAAGCAAAGCATGTGTAATTCTTTTAATCTTCCCTCATAAATCAGTCTCTACGTTCCCTTAATAGTCCTTCTCCCGCACTTTGAACTCTCTCCAGTCTGGCTGTCCTGAGCTCTTGTTCCGTTTACTCCAGAGAATTACCAGTCAATCACGGAGTGTCCGCGCAGGGCGTCCGCAGGGCCTTGCCAGGTTTCCACTCTCACCACGCTGCACCGCCGGCTGCCAAAGGTACCAGAGCCAGGGAACAGCAGCGGGATCCGCCAGGACAGAGCAGGCCCTGCCCGGTGGCCAGCCCACTCAGCCAGGCTCCCAGCATCTGGTGCCTACTCTGCAATGGCCTTTTGAATGGCGAGCCAGCAGTCAGGCAACTGCAGAGAAGTCACCTGAGTAAGACACTCATGCCTCTCCTGTTTGACTTCTCGATGCATCCGCCTTGCACATGGCTGCTACCTATAGCAAAAGGAGGGCCATGGGAGAAGCCATGGTGGGGTCTTACCTGGAAGGTACCAGCATGGTCCTCTTCCTTATCACCCTCTCTGTTCTCCTTGAGGGCAATTAATGTGAAGCCTCTGAAGTAGGAGGGTGGGGCAGCGGAAAGTGTCACTGTGAGAGAGAAGAAAGCAACCTTTTAGCATAGGAATCAACTGTGCTCTGTTTGTCAAGTGAGACAGACACAAGTTCTCCATCCCACACCTGCAAGGCAGAGCGCAGAGGATGCTGGGAAAGGCTCACCTGTAGCACAGAAAGTCTTCACCCTCTTCACGCCGCTCCCTCTTACATTTAGAGCCCGTCAAATGACTGATCTGCTCCCTCAGTTGGAAACTCAACAACCAACCACAGCTGCAATGAGCCAGCCCTTGGCCAGTAATCCCAATGGGGTAAAGTTCCTGGTCAGAAACTCCAGTCTTGACAATTATCTCATGTTACATATGCCTCCATCAGACTGGCCAGGAAGCTATTTAGCTCTCGCTAGCATAGACTCCTCTATGAGGCCTTTTGTGGCACAACAGCTGCATGTTCTGCAAAGCACATCTCATTTTCTTTGTGGAAACTCAGCTAGACCACATTTTCCAGCCCGCCTCCCAGTTAGGTCTGCTTGTGCTTGAGGACTTCCAGTGAGAAACACAGGCAGACGTGGGATCGGTGACACCCAAGCATGCCCTGTTCAAACTTTCCCCATGACCCTCTACTCTTGGTGCCATCTCTACCTGCTGAATACATGGGATCCAGCAGAGGACTCTGATGCCCCAGGAAAAGGACAATGGAGTCACAGATGGAGAGACACTGGGTTTCTGGAAAATCACACACTGACCAGGAACATCCACGCCATACTTTGTATAAACTGAATATAAACTTACATTGTAGGGGGTCATTTGTTACAGCAGTTGGCATTATGACTCTGTAAAACTATTTTTCCCTTGAAATCTGGTTCCAGGGCCTTCTCAGCACTGCATGATGGCCACCTCTCTCATTGGATCTCCAGTGTCCTGAGACAGAAGTCTTTTACTGCAATCTTTTTGTACTGAACTGCAAGTCTCTATTGACTTGCTTTCACACTGGACTGTGAGTTAATGCAGAAAAGGGCTGGGTTTTTATTCCCTTTATATCCTATCACTGAGCAAATAATAGATGTTCAAGTTCCTTCAAATGGATATAAATTGAGATTTAAGCTACTTTATTGCCTAAATTAAAGTGCTAAGATTCTGGGCTTTAGATATGGAATTGATGTTAGAATTTCAAGGGATCCCAAGTATCCTCTAATCCAGCCTTCCAGTTTCATAGATAGAAAACCATGAGGCTAGAAAACCTCTCTGCAAAAACATGGAGAGGTCAACAGATACTTCAAAGCATTCAGAGGCCAATTTAGGGCCAAAACTTAAGGTCCCCTTTGTCATTTAGTACTTTATCCATGGTTTCACATACCAAATATATTTATCCTGTATGGAGCTTCTGCAGGTATGGATTGATTATTAATTTTTAAACCTTATGAGTCAATTCATTTAACCTGTATTATTTAATTATGCTGTGTAACCTACATTTGGGGAGAAGAATATAGTCCCCTAAATTCTTCAGAGTAGTTTCAACCATAAAAGCGAAGCACCTTGAACTCCAAAACTAAAACCACTCTCTTAGATACTATAGTGTCGTCCATGAGCCACCAACACAATGATATCACAAAGAGCTTGAAGACGCAGAGCTTTGCAAATATCATGCCATGATTGGTCAGTTCTTCTAACAAAAATAAAGGAACATTCTGATTGGCTACTGATGTCTAACCAATGAAACAATAAGGGAGAAAGATGAGAAAAACAGCACAATAAAATAAGAACAGTAAGAAATGTGAGGCTCAGCCATGTCAAGCAGAAAATGATGCTCATGCTGTCAGGAGACTGAGCTGGAATCTCTTGAGGAACAAAGACAGCCCAGAGCAGCCTAAGCTGGAGATGGCGAAGCTTTTAGAGTTCTCAAGTATACCAAAAGCCAGCTGTGGTACACGTGCTGTGGGTTTGCCACCACTGGCCTAAGCTCTCTATAGTGGGTGTGGGGTGGCCTTCAGGCCACTTCACACCATTCTGGAGCAGGAGGAGCAAAGGACAAAGCAGTACACAGTAAAGCTGCTTCACCTAGATGTCCTCAAATTCCCTTGTACCATTTTAATGTGACCTTGTGCTGCTGCATCTTTGCTTCTGGGGACCAGCCCTGTAGTTCTTCCTGGTAGGCTGTCCTCAGGCCACTGAGCCCAATCTGCCTAATATGAAAGGCCCAGCACCCTCCCAGCAGGTGAGGACCGGTGCTCAGGGGTTCACAGAATCAGACTGTCTACCCTGAGGGACCTTGGCTGGGGTCACAGCCTTGTTCCTGTCCTGCCTGTCCTACTTCCGTTCTAGTTTCCTAGGGAGCACTTCCTTAATAAATCACTCACACCCAAACCCTCATTTGAGGCTTTGGGTTGTTCTTCGAAAAGTCACAGTATGTTGTAATTCCAACCTCCAGCACCTGAGGATGAAATTTCATTTGGAATTAGGGTCTTTCCAGATGTAATTAGTTAAGAAGAGGCCATACTGGATTAGTGTGACCTTAAATCCAATCTGACTCATCTTCCTAGGCACAGAAGGATGAGAGAACGAAGTTCCACTGTTTTAAACCTCTGGCTTGTAGTAATATGCATAACTTCCCAGGCAGTCACCCAAGACCCAGGAGGAGTCCTTCCCCTCCAGCACTGCCTTCAGGTTAAAGCGCGGATTCCCCAAGACAAAGGAAAGGCCCTCAGTCCCCACCTCTGAAGCATCACCAGCCACACTCCATTCCTCACACACCACCTTCATCCTGGGATTCATGGGCTGTTTCCCGAAAAGTCCCATCAGCTCACCTTACCACATTTTCTCACGTATTCAGCTTCCTCCATTCGTCAGACATGTTCAGAATGAGCTATATTTTCACCTTTAGTGTCATGTTTCTCTGACTTCCCCATAAAGACTAGGTGCCCTTTTTCTCAGATCCTTTTTACATTAAAAACACCTATAGGTCCCTCCAGGCAGGATGCTGCAACTCCCTGTGGGCTGAGGCAGCTCCTGGTAGGACCAGCACCTGGGTCTCCGCTGGGCTCCCCTCTGGCCTCAAGTTACCTAAGAAAGATGGTGTGAGGAACAAGGAGGCCAGCCAGAGGTAGCAACCAGACCACTTCCTCACTCAGTCTGGGGACAGCTGATACTAAAGGTGTCACCACAGCCATCCATACCAAACCCTGCTCCAGACAAAACACTGCCACAGACTTAGCACCTGAAGCCATAAAGATAGCTAAGGCAGCACCTCTGTGGGAAAGGGGCTGCTGCCACCAAGTGCTCCTGGCCTCTTCCCGGGACTGAGAACACTGGAAGAGTGAGGTATGAAGTGTGGGATGAGAGTCTTAAATCTTGTTAAGAGGTGGTGAAGAAGATTTTTTGGTCTTTGCAATTCTAGAAGAGATCATTGAAAAATTTTAAAAGGAAGCCCAAAATAACTATAAAGGCAAAACATTAAAACTATCCCTCCAGCATGAAGATGCGGGATGCTGTTGTTTTGTTTTTGTTTTTGTTTTTGAGACACACTCTCTGTGTAGCCCAGGTTGGTCTCAAACTCCCGATTCTCTTGCCTCAGCCTCTTAAGTGCTGGGACCGCCATACTTTGGTGAACTTTCTGATTGCTTATGATGAAGAAGTTGTTAAGAAGGAAAATATACTTAAATACTGTACACAGAAGAACTCACGCGAATATGTTAGAGGTGTGTGTCTGCCTCATTTTTAAATAATAAGACTAAAAAGTAAAACAAAAATTATAAGTACTACACATTGAATACAAGTTCTAAAATTCCTGACCCCAGACAGCCAGAACTTGTAACTCTGATTTCCTGGCTCTGTAACCTAACAGCTGGAAAGGATATTGAGGATGACCTGATCTAACCCCTTGCATTCTGGGATAGAGCTTCTGACATCTGGAAGTTGAGAGACACAAGATCACACCAAACGAGATGACAAGTAGAACTCAGGTGCCTTGCCTCCCAGGTACAGGCATTTATCCTGATTCTAAATTAAAATAATATCTGCATGTTTCTGCAATGCTGGGATTGGCTCTACTCCAATTTACAGCTGACAGATAAAAACCTGTCCCACTGCTTTGCAGATGTAACTTACATTTGAAAGATCTTGTGTAAATGTAAAAAAGGTTTTAATCTCTAAAGAATGCTACTGAGCATTTTGTGAAAAAGTAAATAAAAATAATCAAGACTTGTAACTTATTTTTGAGAAGTTGCTTAATTTTCTCCCTCCTCATCAGTACCTTGCAGTCATCAAATTCCAGGAGTTCTTATCATTCTCCGAAGATATTTAAAAGAATAAACAGGACCTAGAAGCTGTTTTCTGTATTTGTAAAAGCCTATGATAGCTATGTTAAGCTAAAAAAGGTTAATAAATGTATTTGTACAAAAAAAGCCAATATAATTGACTTAACCACACTGAACCTCAAAGTACTGGTGTGAAGTAGAAGTGAACTAATCCATACCAAGTTCTTAAAAAGTCATGTGTTGGCACAGAATAGGCACTAGGTGTATATTAGCATTATTATCAGTAATTCCATTCTGTGTTCATGTGTTTGTTTACAAATGTGTAAGTCCTTCAAGCTCAAGAACCACATCTGATTACTACAGAGCTGATGTGCAACTGAACTTCCTGAACAGGGTTCTTGGACTGAAAAGTCAGAGTTCTTAAAAATGTCAATGCTCCTCAAACTGATATACACATTTAGTGCAGTATAAATGAAAGTTTCAGCATGTGTGTGTGTGTGTGTGTGTGTGTGTGTGTGTGTGATGTTGACACACTGGTTCTAAAACTTATATGGGAATGCAAAGAGCCAAGAATATCTTGGGAAAGATGTAACAAATTGAAGGGTTTATCTTATCAGATATCAAGATTTATGCAGCTACAGAAATTATGCCAGGGCTGTAGTGCCTAGAAAAAATGGACCAGTTGAAAAATGTAGTAGGATCCAGACCATTTGCACCAGTATATGGAGTTTTTTTGTTGTTGTTGTTGTTGCTGTTATTGTTTTGTTGTTGTTGTTGTTGTTGT